AAAAAAGAAATCTCACACTTAAATATTATTTATCTTGACTGAGTTGCTAGTCCTGGCTCTGCCACCTTCCTTACCGCATGGGATCTGACGAATTTTAAAAAGCTGAGAAAAAAGCATCATGGAACCTCAGGGTCTGATGACTGTTAAATTCACATGCCTCCAGGGAGGAATTAGAAGCCGTGGGTGTCTGATGCTAACTGCAAGGCTTAGAGCAAATCGCACCGTTGTTTTGCTGTGTGCCCCTGGGCAGGCCCTCTGACCACGGCCCCAGCTAGGCTCTGCCGTGAGGCCAGGGGACACTTCGAATCCTGAGCCAGACCCAACCGGAGCGAGACTGACCCCCTGCCCATCCCGACATCCTTCCCAGCAAGCACCCGTGGCTGGACTGGAGAGAAAAAGGTGCTTTCCCTCATGGGTTTGGTCGATCTCTTTGTTTATCGGCATCCGGCTCTATTTTGTTCTGTAGAATCCTGTTTGCAGCCACCTTCCAAGCCTTCTGTCTGCCCAGCAGTTCCGGGAGGGCTTAGGTCTCTCCCAAATTGCTGAACCTCCGGGAAACCAAATGTCTTCTGGAGTGGAATGGAATAGTCAGCGGATATTCCATTCCGAGTGGGGTTTGGTGCTAAACATACAGCTATCCGTGTAGACATATAAAATGCACTCCAGCCTAATTCTGCTAAAAGTAATCATAATCACACTAAAAACAATAATACTGAACTCCAAAATGGAGTTTGCTGGAGGAGGGCATCTGTCTTTCTTCTTACTCATAAACCGTGGCCCCAGCTCCCAGGCTGGGCCAGGCTTTGCTTTTCCTGTTCTCTTACCTGGAGCGAGTCTGCTCTCAAGCTCTGTCTTTGCATCTTCAGGAAGCATCCCGTCATTGGCTGTAGGACCACACAGAGCTGTGCAGCCGCCTGCCCTTCTCGGCAGCACCCACACTTTGACCTCATCCCATTTTGTGTCACCCTCCTCTCCTGAACCCTTCTGGCTTCAAAACCAGGCAGCAGGCATTTGCACTTTCCCTGACTCAAAGGTGGGCTCGGCTGTCTGTCTCCCAGGCTCCCAAACCTCAGAGATAGCAGATAGGGAGCTCCACAAGCCCCACCATGGCCACTCCCCAGGTGCCCTCAACTCATGCTCCTTCCTTTTAAATTGTTCTTAGCAGAAGGAACGAGTCTCTTTCCCCTCACTTTACAGATTTAACAGCTAGGGGTTAATAAGCTAGCGGATGAGAGTAGTTACTCCAGAATGGGGGTCAGCAAACTTTCTGTTTAAAGGATCACACAGTAAATATTTCTGACTTTGCAGGCCAGACAGGCCGTGTCGCAACTACTTAACACTGCCCGGGAAGCAGGAATGAGCCATCAGAGGGGCATGGCTGTGCCCTGGCAGACTCTCTCCTGGACCAGACTCTAGCCAAGCTGCTCTGAGTCCTCCTCTCCACTCAACCTTGGTTTAGAAAGATGTGAACAAACACGAGCATCGTTTCTAACTGCTCAAGGCCACATCCCTAGGAAGACTCGAGCCCCTCCTTAAAGTGTCTGCTTGAGAAAATTCAAGGCTTCCTAAAGAACTTGTCCAGCCGCACCTGAGGAGAAGGCCCTTGTTTTCCAGCTTCTGTGAGAGGGTAGGAACCTAACTTTGATAACCTCTAGTTGGCCAACCTAGACGGGTTTCATATGACCACCTCCTTCCAGCTCTTTGCACACTTTCGCTTCTCTGACTCTACAAAGCACCCCCTCCACCCCGCCCACATTCACTCTTTAAAACTCCCGGTCACCTTTGTACAGACAGTTGAGTTCAGTTCATACCAACCCTGCTGGCTGCAATAGTATGTTACTGATTAACGTCTGTCCTCATCACTCTAACTGTGGCCTTGTTTACCTTCGGCAGTTCTGAGAAATTTTTACTCGGGGACACTGAAATTTGAATTTCATGAAATCTTCACACCACGAAAGACTTTTCTTCTTTTGATTTTTCTTAACTATTTCAAATTGTACAGACCATTCTTAGCAGGTGACGGAGCCCCAGGTTGAGCTTCGGGCCAGTGGTTTGCTGACCCGACTCTGCAAGAACAAACCCCACAAGGGCCTCTGGTGCACGTTCAGGGCAAGGAGCACCAGGTCCCCTCCCCCGACTATGTCTGACTTTCCATCTCTGAGGGCTGGCTGAGGACAGTGCGGTTTTGAAGGCAGAAGAGTGTGAACTGGGATACTGCGGGTGGCCCTGCGTGTCTAGCTGCTAAGCCTCACTTCCTGATGTTCTTCAGAACAGAAGTGCAGCGTCCAAAATCACTTGTAGCTGCTCGGCCGGAGTGCTGTGTTAGCGTTCAGATGCCTAGCATGCCGACGGCTCCAGAAATAACCCTTCCTTATTTTTAACACCCTTGCCTAGTCAGATGGCCTCTGGTTTTTCCCAAAGACCATCCCAGGTCCCAGAGATACAAATGGGAATTCGGAAACTCTAGGTCTCATTCGTAAACCAGACCCTCCATCTCCCCTCATCCACACTAAAGTCCTCAACACACTCTGGGGGACCTGCCTTCCTTTCTCCTGCCGGGTCATAGGGCCCCTGGGCTGTGGTCCTCTGCAAGGCCAAGGAAAAAGCAAGTTTTCAAACAGTTTTTATTTCAAACCACAGTAAGATTCCACCTAGTTAAAAAATACTTCTCAAGTCTCCCAGAAGCCAAAGAGCGGACATTCAGGTCACCGGGAAGGGTGCATCTTGTCACTGAGAAGGAGAGAGGGGCTGGCTATTTACACAGGCAGACACCCAGGACTGGTACATATGCACAGGGCATGCCTCTAAGGCTACAGAGGACAATCGGAGCTGGCTTATCAAGGACAACTGGCCCGGTGGGGACAACCTGGCACTCCAGTGGAAGGTCAGGATTCTCAAAACACCTGTGTACCCCCTGGCCCTGCCTCCCTCCCACCTTGGTCAGGTCTGGCTCATGTCCACCTGCTGGATTCACAGAGGAGCCTGTCCCAGCCCAGAGAGGAGTTCAGAGAAGGGAAGCAGCTGCGGTTGTCACAGAGGGGCAGGTGGGAACAGGGGAGAAGTAAAGCTCCCACCTCCTTTCTAGAATGTTCCGGGCTGGGCTCAGCATCCTGAGGGGAAAGCCTCGAGGGTCTCTGGGTCCCCTGGGGGGCTAGTGCTCGGGCTCGGCATCCATGCAGGACTCCCAGGGGTTCTGGGGCATTCGCGGCAGGGAGAAGAGCAGGAGGGCGAGGCCGCCGAGGAAGAGGAGGACGAAGGCGGCGCAGGCGCAGGCGAAGGACCAGGAGTAAGAGTACTCGATCCAGACAGTGTCCTCGCTGTCGATCATGCGCTTCACCGACTGACGCATGACCTCCACTGAGACGAAGATGCAGAGACCTGAGGGCAGAGCCGGACTCTTAGGGCCCTGCACTCCATGCTGCAAGCCCCCGCGGCCTTTGCCTCCCCCCCCGCCCACTCCCCCCACCCCCCCAGAAGCCTTCACTGCATCTGCTGGGGCTTCCGCACCGGGTCAAGGTCAAGACCCAGCCTCTGGGTGGGGAGAACGGCCCTGAGATTGAAGTTCCAGTTGAGAATCTGCCAAAGTGACCCCTTTGCCTTTAACCGCCTTTCATTCCTTCATTTGTCAGTACTATTTTAAAAATTAATTTTAATTTTTGTTATTAATTAGCATCCTCACTGCCTTGAGGATTGTCTTAGTAAGAAATGGACAAACTGCCAAGATCTGCCCTTACTCCTGGCACGTGGCCAGTGGCTGAAGCCCTGATCAGGTTTGCCCCTGGCTGGAGCC